TATATCAATATTAATGTATAAATATCTATGTGTATACATGTATAGCTGTTCAGTCATCATATTATATATAAATATTATATTATTATTAATATTATCATGTATATACTGTTATATATTATATACTGTTATTAAAAAACACAAATCATGTCATCATATAATGGCCTACATTAATGCACTCGTTAACATCGTCTTCTGTAAAGTATTCTTATGTTTATTTATTTATATTTTTAAACAGTACTTATTCTTGGTGATTTATATATTTTTTGTGTGATTGTACATTTTAGCACCATTGCACCAAGACAAATTCCTCGTATTTGTAAAAACCTACCTGGCAATGAATCTGATTCTGATTCTGATCTGACTCTTAAACCCACCACCCACTCTGAATATACGTTAAGCTTAACGCACTTTCCTCAGATTTTTTTCTTTGCACAGTGTAAATATCATTATATGTCACACTGCTAACTTGCAGAAGCATAGATTTTTAAGATCATATTGTACATGTTCTCTTTATTTGTATTTTTCTATGCTTGCCAACTTACCAAGGTAAACTCCTTGTATGTGCAAACCTACTCGGCAATAAACCTGATTCTGATGTATATAAATAGCTGTATATACTGGTTTATTATCTGTTATTCTGTTAATTAATTATATTTTTTACTAGTGTGTCACATTAAGAACAACCTTGTGCTGTAAAATGATTCCTTGAAATCCTTACAATCGTTCTTCTTTAACGTCCTTATTGTCTGCAACATATTTACAATTTTATTCATCAGTTTACTGTTTTGATGCACATTTGCATCCCCTCTAGTGCTCATATATCTCTTTTTAAACTTTTTCTTACATCCAGGTAAAACATAGGCTGAAACAAACACATTATACATAAAACATATCTTTAAAAGTATGCAAAACAAAGCTAAAATCCACAGTGTACCTCAATGTAACTGGATGTGAGAGAAAGAAGATGCTTGGTGCTTCTTATATTCTAAATCAACATTTCAGTTGTATTAGGAGAAAGAAAGAGTTGGTGTACATACTGCCATACTGTCCACCAACAGAAAAATGAAAACCATCTTACAGGGCGCTGAGAAACCAACATTGCTGATGTTGTTATCTGATCTTCAACAGATAGCCAATCTACCATCGTCACATCATCAATTTCCTAGACAAAATGACAAAAAGAAAAATTGTGGACTATGGAAAGTTTTAAATTGCAGATGTATATCTCTGTAAGTGTCCCCAAGTGAGAGTAATTAATGAGTATACTAGACTTTCATAATGTGTCATTTGGGTCCCTTCATTTTTCATTTCTAGCTACCTTTTATCACTGGCTTTAAAATATTACTTATTGTACTCGTAGTCGTTTGTTTCATACCACTAAAACCAGGCACAGTCAACCACTTAAGTTATTTTTTTAAAGACAAAATCAGTGAATTAAAAGCATGTTAGACATTCGTAGAGTCTGCAGGCTGTTTTTGTTTTCCATTAGAAAATGTAATGTCAAGTGAATGTCAAGTGTCTGTTAAGGGAAAGATGGATGCACTTTAATTCCTGTGCAGAGTTATTGCCCCAGTTCATCTCTGCAAGCGCTCACAGGTGAGTCGGCAGTCGGAGGAGTGGGAAGGATGAAAGATGTTTGTCTTGAACAGAGTCTGTCAGAGGAAACATTTTCTCCTCTTGAGATGACTTCAACTTCATTTTTATGAGATCTATCTGCTGCTCACGTAATGCCACAGTAATAATCTTTATTTGTTTACTGGGATCCAGTGTGGTAGGTGAAATTAGCTGTATGGACATTAATGAGGCCGTTGTCCTTTTGGCTCCAATTTGCCCACATATTAAAGAGGTGCTGAACCCACGAATGAAGTTTAAAGCTTTCAGTGTAATTCTTTTTAATGTTTTCCTCTGGTATGCCAGTGTTACTGTTGCATGGCCTCGTTATACTTCTGTTATGTTAAGTGGGTTTTATTGGAGCCAGGGGTGCATATCTCCCTATTATTTTGGATGATTAATTATTGAATATTGGTTTGTTTTCTTTCCTTTAGTTTACAGCCCTCTCTACATAGAACATGCCTAACTAATTAGCAGCAGAAGTAACTCTAGTTGTTGTGTTAATGACCTATTTGGAAATATACAGGTGATTATGTAATTCCTTTTTTGAATTATTCATATATTTAGTTGTTTTCTTGACCTGGTGAACACTCACAGCTCTTTATTTATAACCATGCGCTGTACAATATTTTCATTCCAACTCCAAAAGTTGCTTTAATTTTATTTAGTAAAACTATTGTTTGACTCAGTATCTTAACAATTAATTGGTTTACTTTCAGTGTCCTCCTCAATTGCTTTTCTTTAATGCCATCTCTTGGATATTAACTTAATTTCTAACATCAGATAAAACTTGTTATTTCTGTATTATCATTATGAATAACTATATAATTAAAAATAATTGTTACTAATATCAATAATAAATATAATATTACTATAACAGAAAGAAGAGGGATATATTGTGTATAATATAATAATAATATATGTATTATAAAAATATATCCTTTAATACAAAAATGCAGCTCAAAATTTAAACATTAGTTATAATATTAAAATACAGTCAAAAATATAGAAAAATTACCCTAAACAATAATACAACAACACTGTAATATTATATTAATTTTACATTTAAGCAGCCTAATCTTCTCAGAGTGACCATTAGTGTATAGATAATTAAAAACTAAATAATTAAATACATAATGACACAGTTAAAAATATAACTGTAAGCAATATATTGTCAAAATAGTTAAGTTAAAAAAATATTAAAATTATTTAAAAAATTTATTACAATAAGTATAAAGTATAAGCACTAAAATAAAATACACTGTTAAATAAATATATTGTTTTATTCTTCGTCTCTTTGGCGACATCTTTCGTTCGTCCAACGACTTATCTGAGTCTTTACTGCGCATGTGCGGTTCACGTCGCCGGCTTGACCGTGACGTAGAGCAGCAGCAGCAGCAGCGTCGCCTCACTCCTCTTCCTCGTTTTAATGAAACTGCGAGCCGTCCTCTGCATCCCGCTGCTGGTAGGACTACTTTTAGCGTTATTTCAAGCAAAATACGGCCACTCCTGAGCGGAGGGTTATTACTTATAGTACTTAGGTGGTAAAACGGTTGCTGTAGCCGCTTTAAACGTGACTTTCTGCGCTGTCAGGCGAGTGAAGGCGGTCTGTTGCTACAAAGTTACTGCTTATTGCATGGTTATTGTGATGATTGCATGACTGTGTCTAAAGTAACCGAGTACATTTACTCATGTACTGCTTTATAGGGAAAGTATTGTACTTTTTTACTCTTCTACATGTATTTAGTTACTTTGCAGATTCAGATTATTCATATAAAATGGAATTATTATTATTATTACACCTTTACCAGCTACATCTGAAGTGATGCAACCATTAATGCAATATATATAATAATAAAATGGGCCATTCTGCATAATGAGTGCTAATAATAAGTATATTTTGATGCTAATATTGAATGCAGGACTGCAGTATTGTTACATCTTCCACCACTGGGGCTTGCTGTGTCTCTTATCCTCCACAAACCTTTCCCAGCTTTAATGATCTTAACAGTGTCAGACATTATCACTGACGGGGAATTAATTATTGACCTCATGTACTTTGCAGTGACAAAGTCCGAAGAGCTTCAATCAGAGCGGGACTAAAGGTCACAGACACACTCCTGCATCTTACTCAAGGCATCCGATAATGTGTGCATTACATGTTTTAACACTGTTGCTGTTTATTATGTTATTAGATTCATTCAGCAAATACAAATTCCACCAGTTTAGTTACTGATGGTGGCTGTTGCTTTCTTTTATTTTGTAGGTCTGTATCTTTTGTCGCATTCCTATAAATAAGAGTCTGCACCAGACAGCAGAAGTGCACTTGCAGATGTCCTGCCAAAAGTCTCCAGAAATGTCCAGAAATGTTCCCTAAAAAAAACAGAGTGATAAATCAAGATAGACACTAAGAGCCAAAATAGAAAGTCATGGTGGAAATCTGCTCAGCCAGCTGTGTTTGACTGTCTTCTCTTCCAGGTGTGTCCGCCCTCCTGCATCCACATGACTCGCGTCTTCGTCTACGGCACCCTCAAGAAGGGGCAGCCCAACTCCTACCGCATGTTTGACAGCGGCAACGGTAGGGCGGAGTTCCTCGCCTCAGCCTGCACCACCCAGAAATACCCGCTAGTGATTGCCAGCAAGCACAACATCCCTTTCCTCCTCAACATCCCCGGCCAGGGTCACCGAGTCCAGGGAGAGATCTACAGAGTGGACGACCAGATGCTGAAATTCCTGGACGCCTTTGAGGGAGTTCCCACCATGTACCAGCGGACTCTGGTCAAACTGGAGGTGAAGGAGTGGGTGGGGGAGGCAGAGGGAGAGGAGAGGCCGTCAGCAGGAAGCATCACGGAGGCGTTTGTGTACAGCACGACGGCGTACCAGCCCAACTGGCCCTCGCTGCCCAACTACGAGAGCTATGACTCGTATGGAGGTCACGGGCTCGAGTATGTGACCAGAGAAGCACGAGACTGATGTTGGAATGAGACGAGGAGATCCTGAGTAGAGCGCAAATATGATCAAAGTCTTCTACCTCTGCAAATCAGCCTCCATATCACTTGAATGCTCTTAACTGTTGATTTAGTTCTTTGCATCATTAGCGCAGGAGGCTTGTGTTGTGGTCCAGGTACTTCCTCTACGTACCGTATCTTTAGAAACGACCCTCCTTCATGGATTTTAGCTGACGAGTCAGAGCAAGTAGAGCCAGTTCTGTGTGATCAGTGGAGCTGAAGTACAATGTTAGTTTGTTTTAAAGGAAACACAGCCTAAATGGACAGAACCTCAACGTACACAGTCACATATGTATAACGGGTGGTCTCTTCGCCACATGGCTTTTCAGTAGCTAGCAGTACCTAAGTAATAATCCCTGTTATGTTTTCTTATCGCAGCCAAACGGATAAATTGAAATCTCCTGAACAAATGTGAAGTAGTGTGAAACACATTGAAGGCTCGGTTAAGTTTCCTTGCAGAAATAAAGGTGTGTAAACCAGACTTGTGAAACTGCATTCTCAGGTTTCTGACAGCAAAGTTTACACTTTATTGCAATAACTGGAACTGTAATTTAAGCTCTTGCTGTGCACGTCGTTCTCTGGTACTGTGTTGAATTTTGCTGGTTCGCCAGTAGAGTCAAAAACTGTAAATGTGTAGTCAGTTGACCTTCCTTTATGATCATCATCTTCCTCTGTGTCGTGTTTTCCTAATCCCAGATTTGTCCCTATGAATAACAGATAAAAGCAGAATACACAAAGACATAGTTTCTGAGTCGTCTCTTCTGTTTTTTTTTCATATGAACACGATCTTTTCTCATCTTTATTTAGAATAGTAAAATCCAGAGAACTGGAGGAGTACAGAAGAGAGGATATTTGGCAAACAAACCAGTGAAATCTCTGTCGGCGTTGGAAGCAGTCTGGAAGTCATTTGTCCTTTTTTGAACAAAAGCAAAAAAACGTACAGAAAAACATGAAAAAAACAAAGGACATTTCACAGTGTATCAAAGTACTGTACAAAAAAAGTTACAAAAAAGGAAAAGATGAATGTTTTCTAACTGTCCAGACTCACATGTAATTCATCTATTTATATAAAGATTGTCAGACAAAATACTTTCATCACCATGAGCGTGTTCACATGCACACAGGTTTCCATATGGAGTTTAAAAATCCAGGTTTAGCTCTTTATCAAGCATTTTATATACATTTTTTTTTTATTCTCATCACAAATGTGTCGGAATACAGGAATATTTAACAAGGACACGTATAAAAAAGTAATACAATATGGTGCACGACCTCATGGTTCAGTGTCCCAAATACTTCTGGTAAATCCCATGTATTTCATTCAGGTTCATCGTAACAATAAAATCCTCCGTACTGTAAACAGGATACGTCGTTGGGGGTGAATATTAAATCTATATGTGTGCATGTGAACAACACTCAAAGTCAACAATAAACAGTCGTGTAAAGGAAAAGATCGCCAGCAAAGACTTTGTGCGGCCAGTTTGGCATTTTAAAAGAAGTAAATTATGAATTACATCGTGGACGACCGCCATGTTTGCCTCTAATCAGACACTAGTGGTGCAGAAAGTGTGAAACAAGAGGGTGGAGATGAAGTGGGAGGACCTCTGAGCGACGTGTGTGTGTGTGTGTGTGTGTGAATCAACTATTCAGAGGTATTATTTAGTGTGGATTCGAGCGCCTGCTGTGTGGTTCTATAATAAGAGTCTTTTCTGGTGTTTGTGCAGCCTGAAGTTTAGTTCTTCAACCAGGTCAGAGTTTATTGGACGGGGGGCGGGGGGTGGGGTGGATTCATCAGTATAGGTCTTTCCTGGTGCTTGGCAGGGAGCGGCTGGCAGAGCAGGTGGCGCTGCGGATCACCTCCATCCACCTGGAGAGGAGGAACATTAAACAGTTTTACAGCCATTAGTATGTATATTTTGAATAGTATATTTGGACCACACTGAGGTTATGGTCACAAGAAAGTTGGATTTAATTACAAGTCAAAATTAAGACAATCTACTGCAAGTAATCAGAAAAATACAATAATCCATCTTGTCTTCTTTTAGAGACAAAGTTATCAAAACATATCAAAATGAACCACTTGTGATCATCTGTACACCTCAATATTCCCTCTGACAGTTCTGTTACTTCCCTGGTATAATTAGCTATCTTACCATCTCTGTTACTGAGTCAATCATAACCTTTTGTTGATGCGAAAGTGGAGAGAGATACCCATGTATGTCTAAATACATTTCAACCCCTACCCATCACCCGAAGTACGGTACCTCTCAAAGGTGTACTCGCTCTCTGATCTGAAGTAGTAGACGTGCGATTTAAAGTGGAGTTTGAACACGTAGTCTTTGTGGATGTTCTCCGACTCAGACGGGACGGTGACAGAGTAGCCCAGCAGAGGGAGGCTGGCCAGAGGGTAGTCGTCCTGTGAGCAGACGGGCCAGAAAGAAAGGAGATCCTTAATGCATCATCAGTACTTTACTGATTCTCCAACTTATCAGACCACTTTACTGTATATATATATATATA